ATATAATCTCAAAAAAAAGGTTAATTTCAGTTAAAAAAAAAAAGAGAAAATGTGATTGAAAAAACACGTGCTTTCTCTTAAAATTTTGGATGTTTCGAGATTACAAGAATCACAACAGAGAGGGAGAGAAAATCAAATATTTACTGTGTTTTAGAAAGCATTGTGACATTGACTATAGACAAGTGTGTAACCCCCACAAGACAAATGAGGTTTTCAAAAACTTAAGGGGAAACTCTAAGATAAGAGATAAAACTGTCTTTTTTGCATAATTCCCACTAAAAAGAAAATGCCATTTTCTTAAAGCACTAAGCTCCAAGCAATGGAAAAATTACATGCATAATTCCAACTAAAAAGAAAATGCCATTTTCTTAAAGCACTAAGCTCCAAGCAATGGAAAATTACATGCATAAAATAGTAGGAGATATTATTTCGATCATGAGGGAGCTACAAATCTACCAATGACTAAATGACAGAAATTTAGTTTTTCATGGAGTAATATTTAGTAAACGACAGAAACAACCCTCTTTCATGGAATAAGGTCCCGTTTGTACAGTCGAACAACGCCATTGAAGGTGGTCTGTGTTAACATATATATCCATATCTATACGGATACATATCTATGGGTATACATCTCTTGGGTACAAATATGTATACACAATACATATGTAATGCACCCAAGAGATGTATACCCATACACCCATACAGATATGTATCTGTACAGATACAGATATATACGCTAACAATGTGTTCTCAGCCTCGTATTTGTACCATGCGATTGATAGAAACCGTTATATCGAGGATAGGCCTTCAATAGATAAGTTATGGAGGTATAAAGTTCCCCATCGAGTCAAAACTTTTTTATGGCTGTTAGGCTTTAAGAGGCTCCTCACCATTGATCGTCTGTGGAGAATGGGGTTCATTCTTACCAATGTTTGTTTGCTATGCAAAAGTGGAATAATTGACCATCTCTTCATCCATAGTCGTTTTGTCTAAACCCTGTGGGATTGGCTATTGGGCTCTGCCAATTGGATTGGCCCGAGACATGCGAAGATACATGACTGGTTGCAACAACTATGGACCCCTCCTTTCTCTGCTCTGGGAGTTCAGCTTTGAAGGATTTAAGTTATTGCAGTCTGTTGGAACCTGTGAAGGGAGCGGAATTTGAGAACATTTGAAAGTCGCAATACGGAATTGACTTCTTTTGTCGAAGCTATCCAGCGATCTATTGCTTTCGGGGTTTACTTCTTTCTATACCTTAAAGTTGTCCCCAAGCCCATGATTTTCTCTCATTACTCACAATTGTTGCTTTTCAGTCCTACCAAATGTTTAGTCTAAAAAGCGCCTCCAGTTGGATGGGTTGAACTTAACTTCAACGACATCGTGTAGTGTCATAGTGTAGGCTATGGGGGCCTCCTTCGAGATCATTTGGGCGAAGTCCTATGGACATACTTAGGGAGACTGCATCAGTATGAGGCCAATGAAGCTGAACTCTAGGTCGTGAGAAAGGGTGTTGCCCTTTTGGACACCTTGTTCCATAGAGTGATCATCGAGGGAGATTAGGCAAATGTCATTTCTTGGTGTTCTTGCTCGAACTCCACCCCTTGGAGGTTGAGCGGCCTTATGGACGAAATTCTTCGAATGCTTAATTTGCTTGAGGTCACGTTCTCTCAAGTTGTTCATAGATTTAATTATGTGACACACTCCTTGGTAAATGAGGCCACCTCTTGACTGAACCATGGTCTCCCACTCTCTTCTTCTCTCCTCTTTCTCTCTCCTCCTTTGATTTCCTTTGTCTCTTTCTCTTTTATTTTTTGTTTTTTTTCCCCTCGTAGCCTTTTCACTATCTTAATAAAGCTCGCTTTTTCTAAATAAAAAACAACAACTCCATTGAAGGATTGAATTATTGGAGTTAATTGTAAATAGTTTTCTTAATAGAGTTGTGAGCGCTTTGGTGGCTTTTTCCTAATATGCATGAAATAAAAAAGCTCCTACTCTTGAATAGTAGAGCAGACCAAACCATGTTCCGTTATACCCCTAAATGGGTTGTGGAGTAAACGAACTTCCTCGTTAATAAGTGATTCCAAACGGGCTTATAAGTGCCGTCCAAACCAAAATGGAGTTTAACAAAAATGAGTCACGAATTAGGGTATATGAGTTTAGGGTTTTCGAAAAAAGTTCAAATAGGTTGCTGACCCAATTAAGTTGAGAAGTTTTATTTAATGCATTACTACCTTAAAGCTTGAAAGATGGAGGTTACCTATTGCTCAACAATTTGGCTCAAAGATATCTTTTAAAAACAAAAAACTTTTCTATTTTTTTTAGAATTGAAATGTTTTGTTCTGGAATGTTTAAATAAATTCTGGATATTGATTTTGATAACCTGTTGGAATGTTAAGAAAGTTTTGGGTACTGTGTTTGATAACAAATATATATTAATATGATATATTTATATTATACGTAATAATATAATATATTATATTATATTATTCATACAAATTATTATTTATATTATATATTATTGAAATATAATTTATATATTAAATATATTATTTAATATACAAATAAAATATTACATAATATATTATGTTGTAAATAGTTAATAGTGAATAGTAACAAAAAACGTTATGAAAGATTAAGTTCATACCCCTATAGGGACTTAAACTTTCATGTTTTAATAAAGAAATGGAAACTTTGTTAGAAGATGTCTTTCATAAAGAAATAAAAGTTCTTGCACGTCAAATGCAAAACTTTTACCAAATTGGAAAGAAATCTTTCAGCCAAACAGATATACCCTTAGGGAAGAAAAATAATAGGAAAAGTATAGAATGAAAGCTTTTACCTTGGTACAAGGTGGTCATGGTTAATCTTGACTATTGGATATGAAATTGGGTAGCTACATTTATTCCATTGACCAAGCTCAAATTTCAAAAGAAATTTTCTCAAATTTTGTACCACAGCCAAACTATCAAATTTCACATCAGATGGTTGTAAGTAAACATGACCACCTTGTATCAAAAGTAAATGGTCTCATTGTATACAATCCCAAAGTAATATAATAGAGATAAACAATGACTATCAAATATCCATTCGACATAACCATATACATCCTTAAAATCGACTAGGGACATATTTTATCCTTCTCCTAGTTTATATACGGAAAGGATTCAAGTTAATTAACCAAGCCGAATGACTCGGCTAAGTCCACTCAGACTAGGCCATGTACCTATACACCCTAAGAAAAGGATAGAAATTCAAAAACATGTAAAAAATTGTTCAAAGTAATTAGAAATAGCAAAAACTAGACTTAAGTAGTAGAAATCATTTAGAGTTATAAAAGTCGAGAAAACTATATAAAAGATGGATTATTGAATAATTTGATTTATACCTTGGAATATTTCAGAAAAACCAAACATGAGAAGAAGATAATAAAGTTGTAGCATGTAGTAAGAAACGATCCCAGAACATCATAAAAAACCAATAAATCATATAAAAATCGTATGTAGAAGATTTCTTAATAAATTGTATGAGTTTTTATAATAAATTTTAACAAGGGCGGGTTGGCGTTTGAAACTTGCCTCGGCCATCGAGTTTTTTGGCTGGGTCCTTGAACAATGAACACTGGTTCAAAAGGCTCGTTTTGGACCAGTAAATGTGGCTTCTTTTACTTTCTAAACATATCAGCAGGGGAACTTTTTCTCCACATGCTTGTTCCTTTCCATTTGGACCAGTAAATGTGACGTCTACTACTTTTTTAACATTCTGGTTTGGGTATCTTTTCAAAACATATTCATTCCATTCCATATTTGAAGCTCGATGCGCTAAATGTGCCTCTATATAGCACTTTTTTTCCTTTTCTAACATGGATGAAATGTATGCAGTGCATTTTCGATGATGCCATTTTTCGTAGTCTTCGTCATGTGGAGAATGTGTGCACTTTTCCAGAGGTATTGAGACAAACTTCAAGGATTCGAACCCTTGATTTCTCTTAGTCAAATTGGTATGTCTACCACTAAACTAAAGCCTAGAACATATTGCATTAGGATAATGCGAACATCGAGATGGCATAGACTATTGAAATCTAATAATCAAGACACCTACATAACTTTGATGGAGAAAGGGAACAAGTGGTTGTAGATCACATTTCAAGTAATAGTTAGGTGGATATTCATATGGAAGTTCATATTTAAGCACGTAGCGAAGATCAGTAAAATTGGCAGGTCAGAAATGTTTTTCGAATAGACCATCTAGATGGATCCAACCCTCACTTAAAGTGAGCCTTCTTTTCTTTTTCGCTCACTTTCTTTTGGAAGGGTAGGAAGAACTGAAATTTAGTTTCTTTTGCACCATCATCATCATCCTAAACGTGTGCAGAAACACTACTAAAAGTTGTTTGCTTTTGGGACCTGCATACGAGGAAACACCACTAACTAGTGACTATTTGGTAATATCTGGAGTAAAAGGAAGCCTACTCTATGAAAGTATGAGGAAGAATATCTCTGCGGGCACAGTCCACATTCCGAACCTATCGTTACTCCGCGGTTATTACTAGTCTTTTCAATGGGCATTGAACCAATGCGACATGAACTCGAGGCCTACATGCAGGAAGTGTCAGTGATTCTTATCCTTTGTTTGAGGACTGCATATAATTTCTTACCCAGTGATGAACTTAGATCTCATGAGGTGGGAGGGAACAATGCACCAGTATCAAGTAAAAGAGCGAAGAAGATTTCGAAATGAATTGCAGACTTGCAGTGAAAGAAAGGAAAATCTTAGCTTTTAAAAAAAAAGGCTTCGACTTAGTCATTATGGTAACAAATTTCTCAGATGATTAAACAAGCTTATGATTATCTTGAGGAGTCAGCTCTATGAGACCCCTAATTGTAAGCCAACATATAAAGAGCCTTATTAGCCAGAGGACAATTGTCTCCATAACCTTGCTTTTCATTCAGAAATTCTAGTAGAAGCCCGAAATGGAGGAGGAGTTGATCTTTTCCGTGGTAAATTCATGATTCAACCTCTTTTATTCACATTTCTGAGAAACCAATTTGCATCAACCTGAGTGCATTTCAAGAATAAATCCATTCATACTTCTGACCCCAATTTAATGGAAGTAAAAAAAAACTCAACCACCAATCCACATACGAAAAATATGAAAGAAAGTTTCGATTCCTGGGTTAGCATCAAAGGTCCAACGTGAAAGGGACTCCAGTGGCCGGAATCCATGACCCTCCATCAAGAAAGCTCCCCACAGAGAACTTTGATGCCTCTGAAGGGCTTGTTATAAAATGATAACCATTCCACTTCACTCTCTTTCCGGTGTTTGAGCCAGGCCCTGTATTCCTATATTCTCCATAATACAATGTGCTTAGAGCGAAATTCTCGCTCCACTCTAGCCAACCAGCCGGATTTATCAAGTCATCAAGAAAGCATTTCAAGAAGATTGTCCTAGCGTGCTTCTGCCATGGCCTCCCTAGATAAGTCGCGAAGGATCCTTGCACAGGGCTCAAGTCAGGGGCCGCTGAAATCCTAGAATTATGGATTGATATACCAGTGTTTTGGTTTGGGTCACTTCTTCCTTGAGCTGTAATGGTGTTCTTTTGCTGGCTCATGGGCCTCCTGACAAAGATGTTGCAGTTTTGGAACACAGCTATGGCATTCCCAAATATGAAGTCGACAGTGCCATATATGTCGCATTCTCGGTAGAACTGGCGCAGGGTGTCGGCATGTAGGGTGTCTTGGTAGCCATCAATGCTGCAACGGTAGAAGGCGGCAAAGTCGGAACTCACCCTTAAGGCCACAGCTTGGTGGTTTTCAGGCCCCGCGGTATTACGGAAAGTCATGTCCCTCGCCATGAAACGGTCCCCGGATACGGCTACAATAGGCACAATAACCACTCAATTTAAGGAATGTTTGGTTGAAGTTAATTATTTCACATATGCCTGTTAAAAATACAAGTTTTGTCAAAAGTGTTCACAAACTTATCAGCAACCTTTGTCATTTAGTTAGTGGATGCTTTAATCACTAATAGTTTATTATTGTTAGGTTTATGTGGCCTTTAAAGTCCTTATGAGTATGTATTAAAATACTTTTATTATAGTGAAACATAAACTCAATGGGAGTGTAGTCCCTCGAAGACCATCCTAAGCGAATGATGTTTGCTTATACCGGACTGTGTTTATCGATCTAGGCCAGTCGATTGTAAAACCCAAAGTACCTGGGCATAAAGAATTAACTGAGGAGCCTTTTGGGTTCACCCTTGATGAAGTCGGAGCTTATGTCTAGATGAGAGAGCCGAGGGACTGTGTGATGGTAGGCCTACTGAGACGGGAGCCAAAACCTCATCCATATTCCATCACACGGCATGCATATTGATGGATCATTTGGAAAAGCCAGATATCCTCCTTTGGGTGAAGCGTAAGCATGTACGAAAGATACCGCTATGCACTATAGAGCTGTAGTCGTATCAGGTCGTGGTGACCTTAACTCGTCTTTAGAGGAGGACTTGTAATCCATAGATTGGGATTGCAACCCCTTGATTCATCGGCCTAACTTTGGTGACCTGCTACTGAGCCCCTGCTTGGACTGTGGGTCATGGGAAACACTGAGTCGATTCGATAAAGCTTGTGTGGTTTGCAGTCCACAATTGAAGGCGGAGTATCTCATTATTACAGATTGAATTTTTAAAACTATATGAATCATTTTCCCATTATATTAATTTAGTTGTGTTCATTTTATTATTGAAATAATTTTAGTTTTATTATTTGAATTTTATGAATCTCTCAATATTTTAATTATGATTTTTGGACTTATAAAAATACAGTTATTGATTTTACAAAGTTGTGAAAATTCAAATATATATTAATTTGTTTTATTTAATTTTAAAATAATATATTTTTATAAAAAAATTCCATAGAGGCCCAAAGTGTATATGGGCCTACCATGTGGCATGTAGGTGGGGGCCCACATGTGCCACAAAAGGGTGACACGATCCCACCCTTTGGATTCTTTGTGATCAAGGTCTTTAATATTATGGTAATTTTGATTTGAGGCATGTGGTCAAATCTTGAAAATGATATAGCGGCCATGGCATATTTTGTAATATGATAAGTATGCTTTAAAAGGGATATGGTCAATTTGAATAGATGGTAAGCATTGACATTATCTTGTTTAAAATTTTTGGTAGTATTTATTTACTTGATAATGTTTGACATATCCTTATGGAATATGTGATATGATCATGCTATTTTTATGGAATGCATAATATCTATTTTATCTAAATATATTGATGGGAAAATGGTTTAAGGAAAGGGGGATAATGGTCCAAGCACCTTCCATAATGTTGATGGCCCATTTATAGAATAGATGGCTCGGATCTCTCACCCCACAAGTCACATTGATCAACGGTATAGACTCAATCTCATGAAAGAGGCAAACTATGAGAAACTCTAAGAAACCCTAAACCTAAATATTCACTATAAATAGCAGTGCTCTTCCCCAATCTCTACACAACCTCTCTCTCGTCTCTCTCTCTTAAAGGGGCACGCTACACTCTCTCTCCTTTGAGTTTCTCTCTCTAACCCTCTTTATCCCAAAGTTTCGAATGGAGGGTCACACCCCAACTCTAGCTACTACTCTTTTTCTACCTATACCTAAGAAGAAACTAAGAGTTCTAGAAATTAGGGAGAAACCTAATTTATTTTATTTTTGGAGGTTAGGGTTTTAGGAAGAATTAGGGTGGTTACATAGTTTGGCCGAAATCAGCTTTTTTTTATTCGAGATTAAAGCTAGACCGCAGATCCCGCTTGGCCGAAATCAGCTTTCCCGATTTGAGATTAAATTTAGACCACAGATCCCGCGTCATTGGATGTGGTGACTCGGTGTGGGGTGTAAGAAGCTCGATTGAAGTAATCTCCATCATCTTTATCTTATACTTACTTGTTCTTTATTTCATATTCTCAAGCACAATATAGGTTGTATGAATAGCATCAAGTAGTTGAGATTTATTTTATTGATGTGTTATTTATTTTAGAATTTTTATTGTTTGTAAGAAGACCATCTGTGAGTGATCTTGCTACCAAAAATATAAGGGATTATTATTATTATTAAAAAAAAATTATATTTTCTCAGTAAAAGATCACATCGGTCTTTCTTTCAATTATGAGAGAGGAATGGGGTGTCACTGACTCATGGGAACATGTTGGGGAGTGGTGCCCTCACCCACACTCCCACTCTCTCTCTCTCGAGCTTGGGTCTGTGTTACCCAGTGACAGCCATCATGTAGGATGGATTTCATGAGTGGGGAGCATAATTAGCAGTATGATTAGCCAAACCAGTGTCTGAAAGCACTACTTGGGGTGAGTATTCAGCCAATGCCCGATCCAAGTACTTGGTCCAAGTATGAGTAACTCGGCCCAAGTAGGTGCCGGATATTGTAGCACCAAAAAAAAGTTTTTTATTAGGTCAAAAGTTATAAAAAATCCAAAAAATTAGGAAATGTATATTTACAGTAAGATTAAGCAAAACACATCAAAATGGGAATAAAAAGGTAGTGAAAAATCAAATTTGAAAAATCAATTTGTAATTGGAAGTATTTTCAAATTGATAAAAAAAAAAAAGGGAAATATAAAAATAAGTTTTTACGGCCAAAACACTTTTCAATATTTGTCAAAATAATAAAAAATATAAAAAAACATATCATAAATAAATTCTTTATTTTTTGGGATTTTTTATTTTTTGAATTTTTATAATATCCCTATGTGGCAACCCAGGGAAACTCGGGCCCCCATGGTACTTGGGACTCGGATCGAATAGTCAAACACTGGCAAATAAGAAATTGGTAACTCGGTTTTGGTCGAAGAAGTCTAAAAAAGGTCCCCACATTGTATGAGAGCCATAAAAATCGTCAAGGGGAAAAGAATTTGACTGGTTTGGATTTGACTTAAAAAAAAAGTGTGTTTTGATATGGGCATCAAGAAATGACAAGTAACAACGTTAGTTTTCATGTAAAACAAATAAAAATTTTAGTTCTATGTAATCAAATTAGAAGATAGTATACCTACTTTCAATGTAACTAGCGTAAGACACGTTTGGATTGTACGAAAAATTTCGGGAGAAGTATTTTCACGTGAAAAAACTTCCTCATGTAGTTTAATTGTGGGAGTATTTTCATATCATTCACAGTGTCCTTTTTTCGCACCAATTAGCAGCCAATTGGTGTAAAAATAATTTCATACCAAACCATATTAAAGAATTTTTTCACATGAAAATACTAACAGGGACGTATTTTCACACGAACCATGTATATTAGCTGAGAAGTATTTTCACACGAGCCATGTGTGCACTAAATGTTGGTAGGCGAAGAAAGTTCTATTCGGGCACACCAAAGAGATTTAACAAAGAGGGGGAAAATGAATAAAGAGAAGTTTACAAAAATACACCTAACGTTTGAATTGTTTAACATTTTATTTTACCTGGGTGTAATTTGATCAATTTCAAAAACTTTGTTTAATGTGTCGCTTGAATTTTGATAAAAAAAATGGATAATTTGAAAATAGATCAGTAATAAATAGTTCTTGTTTGTAGTTTGATAAATTTCTTGAGAAACGAGAACATCAATTGAAGGCAATTTTAAAATTCTCTTCAAAATTTATTTTGAAGTATTATGTGTTCTCCAATAAATACTATTTTTTTCAATTGATTTTGGGACCTTTATTTTAAAATGCTTATAAAAATCAATGTATTTTGCAAATGGAGTGTACACCATAAGCCTATTCATTTTTGATACCAGGAGGTAGGGTTGGCAATGAGCTGGGCGGCCCGGTCTAACCCTAAAAAACTAAGGCCTAGGCCACAAAAGTAGCCTGAGGGCTGGGCCAGGGCCACAATAAGATCTGCCTTGCCCTGCCCTACCCTATAGTTTCTTTGTTTTTTTAGCTTTTTTTTTAAGCCCAGCCCAAGCAAAGCCAAGGCCCCTTCAGACCAGTTCAAGCCAAGTTGGGCTAGGGACAATCTTTTAGGGGCCTAAATTGGGCTTGGCCCAAGGCCGGTCCGACCCTCTCCAGCCCTACAAGGAGGTCACAATTACTAAAATCCGAAAGCTTAAAGTATGTTGTATAAAGAAAATATATTTTAGACTTTCTGTCCATTCAATAGTATACTCTCAACCACTCAATTTCACATCTAATAGTTAATCAGGATTTTGAATTCTAAAGCCAAAATTTCCACCAAATAAACCCTCTCCTGAAGGCAAGCAACAAAGTAATGCTGCCTGTGAAATATGACTTGAGAGGGACTGAAAAAATTATAGTAAATTCACAGTTTGCATTGGGCAATAAAAATCTATGATTGAAACTTAGTAGCCTTCACCATTTGAAAAGGGAGAGGAGGGTCTAGATATTTACCAAATGTGGCAGAGCTGAAGGTGGTGGAACCACCCCTAACGCTTCTACTCGCTGTGATAATGGTGTTTCCTTTCCCATCTCCAACAAACATCAAATTCTTCATAGAATTGGTGATCTGCACATTCTCATTATAAACTCCTGCTTTCACGTGGATAATAAACCTCTGGGTTCCACTTATCTGATTTGAGGCCACTCTTAGAGCTTCTCTAATGGTTTTGTAGTTCCCCGACCCATCTGCTGCGACTTTCAAGTTTGCCTGAGATGCCAAAGTTTTTGCTTGTAAGAACCTCTGATCACCGACCGATACCCATCCTGGGAATCGATCATGCAAAAATCTGCCATTTAACCGTGTTTTGGGCCCATTAGAAGAGGGCGGCTTGTTTATGGCTAGGGCGTTGCATATAAGCTGGGAGACATTTTTTGCCAGTTTGGCAGGGATTTGGGCTTGGACATCAAGGTCTATGAACCCATTGGTGCATGTCTCTAGGTTGGTTAATGAGGCACTCAGCCATGTCTGGGTGTCGAGTTCGGTGCGAGTGGGTGAGCGTAGGGTTCGGTTGAGGTGAACAATGGTGGCTTTGTAGAGCTCAAAGCAATCAGACCAAGCCACTCGCTCAAGCTTGTTTGTGCATGACTTACTATGCTTGAGGTTGTCAGCTTGGGCTTGGAGGGCCCGGTCCATGGCGGCCTTTACGACCATGTGATGGAGGTTGGCCTTGCTCTTTGGGCTGGGGCTTTGGCCCATGAGTTGAGTGCAAGACTCAGGGTGAGGGGTCCTGATGCACCACCTCTTCACATTAGCCATAGTGCCCTCCACAGTTATTGAAACCATGGCAATTGTGAGGAGCCAGAGCACCAAGTGATGAGCCATGGTATTGACCATTTCTAGTACTAAGGTTGTGGTATATTGTAAAGCTGCACTATGCGTATGCCTTATATGGGGCAACCCCTCTCTCATGCCAAACTTTTTATTTGTCATAGGACTCTTTCATGTGGTTTGTTTTCAAGAATATAATTATAGTTTAAGTCCATCCACCCAAAATAAATTTGAAACAAGGATAGTATTGGGCAATGATTTCATGCAATCGTTGCATAGTAATATGATGCAACGACTTTAAAAGTCTATCTTATGGTCATTTGTTTCATCCAAATGTTGAAATATATACTCTTTTCATTCTAATGAACAATCACAAAAAAAGAAAAAATTGAAAAACATAGGT